TTCCAGTTCTGTCTTGCTCTGCACCAGGCCAACCTCTCCCTGCGATGGCGATCGTCAAGTGTCGGGCGTTTTATGACTTGAACTCAGTCCCGCAGTTTTTAAACGATTTCTTACTGTTCTGGTTGACTGATTACGACCATGTAACCACTGCCTTTTTATGCGGGTGCTTGTTGCAAACGGATTTCGTCTGACCAATCTACCAAGGCTCCTATCTTCACGTTGGGTTGTTACAGATGGTCGACCAGATCGAGGACGGCCCTTAACATTCTGGGTGGCAACATGTTTTCTGACCAAACGGCTGATCACTGTGTAATGATAGCCAAGCCTTGTAGGACATACCAGCGGAATTCGTGCCAATAATTTGCCATCTCTGCGCCTCTGATATCCGTCTTCTTGCCATTCTTACTTAAAATGATTTTGCATTCAGAAATTCGGGACTTAAATACGGATTTGATGCACGAGAAAATAGTGCATATTGGACGTGAAGAAGGGAGCAAGGGGAAAAAAACGCGCCTGATTTAAATGTCACACCTGAACGCTCACATCCTTTTAATTATATTTGAAATTATGAACATTGCTCAACATCATTAAAATTAAACCTTATTTTCAATAAGCAATCCTGAAAAATATTTGGGGGTGCTTAACTTTTTTCCAGGTGTATATTTATAACAGTGTCTCCAGCCTTATAATTATTGATTATAGTTTTACAAGCTGTTACATAAAAAATGGCTGCGAATATATTACAATAACCTGGACTCTAGTAACAAATGCAGTATTGAGTAGGTCCTAGAGTATTTCTAAAATTAATTCAAAGCATATTAATTGGAAATTGCCACGTTGAAGATTCATAATTTCTCGAGTTTACTGTTGTAATATGTCTCTATGTAGTTTTATGGGACTATTTCAATGAGTTTTCTAACAATAGATGATTACTATAGTAGATTTCTCTACTCTTGAGAGTAGTGTTTTATTCTACTGATTTTTGTACTTTGCTTGTTAAATGCATGTTTACGTGAAACCTCAAGCAGAAAACCACCAGGCTCATTAAGTAATGGTTGGGTGAAAAAAAAAAAGCCAATGCAGCAGTAAACTGTTGAAAAACATGTAACATTCAACTGAATGCATATGCATGTATGGAAATAAAAACTTAAGAAACAAGGTAATTAAAAATTGTTAATTTAAAAAGGGGAAATAGGGATCATCAAAAAAGTACAGAAACAAGTTGAATCAAAATTCAAAAATAGCTGTCATAGATGCATAACCAGAAGACAGTGACTTTGTCATAGAAGATGAAGACCTACGACCATGGGGTGAAGATGAGACATACAAAAATGTCAACATCAGTGAAGAAATTACTGGCAAGCAGAAGAAAGAGCTATAAGATCTACTGTGCCAGTATGCAGATGTTTTCACAGATAGACCAGTCAAGACAGACCTTATGCAACACAAGACTAAGACCACGACCAGGGATCCAGTCAAGGCATAGCTCTACCAAATGCCCTATATGGTGAGAGACATGATCAAAAAAGATGTCGAGGCAATGTTAGAAGCCAGAATCATTGAGCCTTCGATTTCAGCCTACTGTTTACCAGGGGTAATCACATAGATTTCCGGAAGCTGAACCTTATGATGAAATTCGGCTTTGAACCTACAGACAACTCAGAAGCTACGGTGGCAAAACTAAACAGGGCCAAGTTGTTTACCAAGATCGACCTCTGTAAAGGTAATTGGCAGATCCAAATAGAGACAGAATCTCAAGAGAAGACAGCTTTTGTGACACCAGACAGATGCTATCAGTTCAAGCAGATAACGTTTAAGTTAGTCAACTCATCAGCGAAATTCAACTGCATGACAAGGAAGATGTTGCACAAAACCACCAACACTGAGCATTATGTGGGTGACATTCTAATCCACACAACCAGATGGGAAGACCACCTGAAGAAACTCAGTGAGCTGTATGGGTGAGTGAGAGCAGCAGGGCTGACTATCTAACTGCTATATCAGCTGTTCTGTGCTGGACTATTTTAGACACAAGATGGGCACCTAAGAGACAGCCATAAAAGAGGAGAAGCTAACCCACATACAAGATGCACCAGCTCCAACAATCAAGAAGCAAGTCAGATCCTTCCTGGGGTTAGTCGGATACTATAGGAAGTTCCTTCCAAACTATGCTGAAGTCGCTACATCACTGACTGACCTGACCAAGCAAGGCCAACTCAAGAAGGTGAAGTGGGAATAACCACAGCAGATGGCATTCCAAAAGTTGAAGAACAAGTTAGGAAGTTTCCAATCCTTAGAATGTCAGACTTCAGTAAATGGTTCATTATTCAGGCTGATGCAATAAACATTGAAATTGGAGCAGTACTTCAGGAAGAACATGAAGATGGACTGTTTCCCATAATGCATATCTCTAAAAAGCTGTTGAGTAATGAGACTTACTACTCTGTGATTGAACCAGAGTTTCTGGCCATCTATCAAGGGAACTGCAAATGTTGGTGCAAATTTTATGAGTAGAATTTGAGCATGAACTGAGCACAGCCTTTATATATACTAAAAAAAAATATTTTAAACATTTTTCTTGAAGAGGGGCTTATTGTTAGATATAGACGACTGTTTAAGTTTAATGCGAGCATTATTATTTAGTTTATATAGTGCACATGTAATACTTAATTATTTTTAAAAAGTGATATTATATGGTAAGTTTGTTTACATAAATGTTAACAAATCATACATTGTGTAGTTCAATTGTTATGAATTAGCAGTTGTTTACAATAATGAAGTTATTGTGTCATGTTGGTTTAATTGAGTATTATTGCACCAAAATATCTGGTATAGCATGGAATTTTCTAGACTTTTGTTGGGGCATAAATATGCATCAAAAATAATTATTTAGTTCTAATTCTAGACTGCATGATTGTGAGTTTAGTGATAAAGTGTGTATAGTGGCAATTTTTAAAATGAAATTATCACAGACTGTTTTGTAATAACAGAGTATACAAGAATAATTCATCTTGTCAGTTGTGTTCTAAAGTAACTGATCTGTGTGGACTTTGATGTAAAAGAAATGATTATCTAAAGCTCAAGATACAACTGTGATAACCAACAGTGTAACAAAAATTTGTAGATAAGCTGATTTGTTTTTAATATGTTATTTTTAAAAAAGCAGACTGTGTTGCTGTTTGTATATAGTTGAAATTTATGGCCAACAAGTTACAGCCACCTACTGTAAGGAATCCAGTTTTACAAAACCTGACAGTTGTGTGTACTTGTATCTATGTTAAAGGGGTTTTCTTTATGACTTGTGTGTGAGGTGCTAGCCACTCTGGGTAAATCTGCAATGCTTTTTAAGTTAGGAATTAAATTTAAAACAGTCTGGTAGAAGTTTTCATCAAGTATTGTTTGTAGAAAGAATATTACGATCCAGTAAAAGTGTCAGTTCATTGTCAAAGCAATTTTGTATTTTCTGTTATAAAAATATTTTGTTTTTATATTTTAAGTTCTGTCAAATCTCTATTTCATTCAGAAAAACTCAATATTACAATGTAATAGATAATCTGTTGGAATATCCCGTTATTCAATGAACCTATTACATTGCTCTAGGAATAAGAAGTTTTTCTTGAATATATCACGTGTAGGTAGGAGTTTAAAAAAAAAGTGAAACATTTACAATAAAAACAGAAAAAGGTTTAATGAAATATTATTCCAGAGCAAATATTACATTATTCATACACTAGAAAACAGAATATGCACCACCACGGAAGACAAAGAGCATGTGGTATTTGTAGTTACAAATAAGTACAATATTTTTCTGACTGGTGCTAAACAAGAACACATGGAAATTTATTGTTTTATTACTCATGCATATAGTAAGAGGGAGCAGTCTTGCTTAATCTTAGTTTTCTCTGAATTATATCAGTTTTATATTCTTATGGTAAGGAATACTGATGATTCTTTAGGATCACTGGATTTAAAATATATATAACTTCAACTCATTCCTTCCAAGACAGAGAAACTTATAATTTATATATATATATCTAACCATTAAAGTTGACTCTGAGTCTGCAAGTGATGTAATTTTTGTTGCATCTTGCTAACCACAGAGAGTAATACATCATTTTGGAAACTGTATACTGATTAGGAAATATTAAAACAATCTCTCACTGGTATGCACATTATTGAATGTTATGTCATTGTGACTAATTAATTGCACAGTTGTTCGTCAGTTTTGAGGTAACTTACTTCTGTGGATGTCATAACTTGTCTCAAAATACAGTGTACTAGTAATTTATAAATTACATACACTAGTTCATTCAATGCATTTCACCATGATATTTATATAAACAACACACTGTTCTTTTAACTGTATAATATTTTCTTGACTAAACAACAGTTTTTATCCTCGGTGATATGCACATCATCCTTAAAAGTTGGATTAAGTGTGTGTTTTTTTTAATGTGTGTGAAGTTATGCCATCATTAAAGACATATACTGACCATTGTTATAGTGGTAAATATTGAAATGCCATAATTTTTTGCCAAAATCATCTGAAGGCACTTTTGAAAGAAGTAACAGTTTTAAATAGTCAGTGACACAGAAGAGTATATTATACATCAGCATATTCTTAAAACTATTAACTTTTAAACAAAAATTATAATATTAATAAACACAGAAAATTATTTTAGGTCATCAAAACCTAGCTCAAAAGTGATCTGTATAAATAACTGCAAAACTAAATAAATAAAGGTTTTTAAAAATCAAGATTTTGCAGGTTCATTTTATAAACTCTTAGAATTATTAGATTATCTGCATTCACATAATCTTGGAAAATATTACAATTTGTAAAAAAAATACTGTTCACATCATCAACAAACAACAATAAACTTAGCTGCAAACAATCCATTATCTGGTCAGTACAATAAAACTTGAATAGTACATTTCTCTACTAATGGATTTGTAAACACTTTAGAAATTATATTAATTAAAAATATACATTTGCCTACAACCAAACACCATGTTATTCAATCATTTTTATTTTTTGAACATCCTCTTTTCATCTTGGAAAACATGTCACGATAATAATATACTTGTCTCAATGATGAAACAGCAAGTTTTGTTTTTGTAAACATTTATAAAACTGCTTGATTCAGACATTTGGTTTTGCCAAAAATAATTGTTTAAATCTGAAAGAACCAGAAATGATAAAAGTCGATATGTATAAAGACTGGTTGATTACAAGCATGGGTTAAAAACAACTGCAGTATCCTCAAAAACCAAGGTGCAAAAGGTAAGTTATTATGCATTATTAATAGCCAAAATAATATGGTATTAACTAAGATCTGCTTGTAAAATGTGCCTCGTCCATCGTAAGAAAAATGTTAAGTTCAAACAACATATTTTTAATATAAATTTTCAAAAAAAAAATGAAAGTAATACTGTGTAGTTTTCATATTAATTGTGGTTTACATTAGAATATTTTACTTATTTCTGTAGTTGTATCCACAATGAGGTGTATTTTAAAGTTGTCTTGCATTTACTATAAAAGTCTGTTACATTTCACCTACAACACACCTTTAAATTTGTCCAACCAAAGACCATTAATACTGTGTTTAAGTAGATATCATATATTTTATGTACCATAGCATTATATAAACAAAAGCAAATATCAAATAATAAAATAAATTATGTAAACTAGAAATTTTAATATCATCAAATGTTTCATTTACAAAATTTCTCTTCAAGATTTGCTGCCATTTTTATAACTATGCCACACCAACTGAGCTGACTTACAAAAAAATCATGTTTTTATTGTTCATACATTTGATCGCATTTGAGTTACCCACAATATTTTTAATAAACTGGATTACATTACAGTAAATATTGAGCCATGTGTACCTGTAAAAACACATTAAAAAACTAATGTCACTAAGGTTTTTTTTGTTCATTTAACATTTCATATGAGAAATGCCTGGTTGCCTATTTACAGAAAAATGGTAGATTGGATCATTTTTTTTACAGAAAACCACTTCAATACCCTCTTACATATTTAGTATAAATGCGCACACACCAACAACAACATTTTTTTAGATGTGTAAGTTTTTCCAAATATCCTTACACACGATAAAGTTCATCAAGCTATACAGCAAATACAAAATGCTTTATATATAATAAAAATATATCAGCTTAATTATAGCCATAAAATACATTACAAGCATACATCGCAATACTGGAAAGAAACCACTAGTGGTAGCTTTCAAAAGAACTTCCACATGTATAATTAATTACCCATAATATAGTTATATCAGCTATACTGTAAAGATACATCTAATTACTTCTTTTTTTTCTAATTCAACCATTCATAATTCCAAGTATCTCAAGCTAAACAGAAAGTGAAAATTGTAAAACAAGCTAATAAAAGTAAATACAATAGCACATCAGTATACCTCTTCCTTCACTCAATCCTATTTGTTTACAAAATTGGACACAAAACGTATACATTTTTATGCGACAAAAAAACAAAAACACCAGTTTTGGAATCATATTTTGAGAGTCAACTCATGGAAGAAGTGGTACAAAATATGTATTACAAAAGTCCATAAAACAACCTAAAAATGCTAAACCTAAAATACAACCAGAAAGATGCACTTTGGGATAAAATATTCAACTTGAAAAGTTGTAACACAATTTATTTTGACTAATTGAATAACTTCCTGTTTATTTACTTACAGAAATTTATAGATGAATCACTCTTCAGTCAGCGACATTAAACCTGAAGAACACTCGGTTTTCTGAATTTCTAGAGAGCACGGTGATACACAATATGAATAGCCACATGTCAACAATACACTGTCTGAGAGGCTGACAACAGTAATAAACATTATCAATGTATTACAGAAGAGATGCAATTAGATGCCAAAATATTACACAATTTACTGAAAGTAAACATACAATAAAAAAACAATGAAAAGTTAGACACTCTGCTGATTTAAGTTTCCAACAGATAGACTTTACAATAATATGGTTTATGTTTATCATATGAGCAAATTCTTCCTCAGCATATTGTACATTTGACTAGTGCTTACTTATTATTGTTGTTTGAACATACAGCACAATTCAAATGTTTTTACCTTTAACTGTAATATGTTTAGCCAATTAAATACAATTACTCACTGGAAAAAAAGTCCATTAATACTTTCAAACATAGGAAATTCTTAGTATTTAACCATTTGAAAGACAACTTTGTCTGACACATTCCTATGTACAACAAATAGGATTTCTTCACTTTCCTCAACAATTTATTGTATCAGCCAATTGAGTACAGTTTCCATTAGTGGTACCTCAATGAAAACGAGGGTCAATATTAGTTTCAAAAAAGTACTAATAATAATAACTGTACATTCACTATTCATGTCAATGTGGGTTGAAGACATGAAGCAACAGTCAAAATTTGCAATTCTTCCTGTAGCACATAACAACGCAGTTCTTGTATAACTGGAAGCAGTCACACATGCATTTCTTTATTGATAAATCAAGTTAAAGTAGACCCCAACAAACATTAACAATAATTCAAGTGCAATTCTCATCAGTTTTACAGATTACTGTGGGTTTATACTATAAATAGTAACAAAAAGTATATACAAGCAGTTTAAGTTGTAAATGTTTAAGCTCTACATAAACTATAAATATGTTGGTCTTAATCAGGCATTAAATTTAACATAGAACCAATAACAATGCAACTATTTATCTGTTTCTCAGGTACATGTAAAGAGTACATATAACTTCTGTACAAGTGCTAACATACATACACATAGATAGGTCTTAATCAGTAGCTCATCAACACAACTTCTGCACAAGTGCATGCACACTTGTGTAGTTCTTTAGTACATAGAGATAAGGTTCCAACCAAGATTTAACACATACACAAAATGTTCTTCATCAGTAGCTCAGGTAAGTATAACTTTCACATATGTGCTAACATACATACATGTAATGCAAGTGGCAACACACGTTGCAGCTCTTCATCAGTATTAAAAGTACATCTCTCCCACATGTCCTGCCACAGATAAATATGTAGATATTCATCAGTTTCACAAATAGGTGTGTCACCCACAAACATACCAAGAAACAAACACACAGTTGTTCATCAGTGGCAAAGAAATTAATAAAGATGCATGTCCAGTTCTATATTCAGTAGCATGGGTAAGTGTACTGTAGCTCCCACTCAAATGTTAATAAACATAAACGTGCAGAGTTCTTCATCTGTAGCAAATGTGTTTTAATAAATATACATGAATGGTTCTTCATCTGCAGCAAATGTAGGTGTAGCTCCCACACAAGTGCTAATAAATATGTGTGAAGTTAGTTCTTCCTCTGTAGTGAATGTAGGAGTAGCTTCGACATACATGCACAGTCGTTTCCCTGTAGTAAATGTAGGTGTAGCTCCCACAGAAGTGACATACATATGCATGTGCATTTTTTTTATTAATGGAACAGCTTCCTTGCGAGTGGTCATATAAAGTACATTTTTAATCACTAGTACAGCAGTACAAAAACTTACATATGCAAACAGTATGTTTAATACCTAAGTAACAGTAACAATCATACAATTGGTATTACATACATCTTAAAATGGTAAACAAAACTATGTACAGGTCTTAATCTATGGTTCATGAGGAGTATGAGTAATATTAATGCAATTTTTATAAATTCGGATCAATTCAGATATCATATAAATCTTAAAGGGGTTCATATAAAATATTTGTAGCTTTTCACCAGTGGCAGAATGTAGATCCTATTCTAGAAGTAAAGACCAAACTGATAATAATTATTATAAATTAAGCCAATATTTTTACTCCACACATTTACAATACTTCCATTATGTATATGTAATTTTGCTGTGTTTACTAAAACTGAGGTGATTTGTTAATACTCTTATATGTACTACTTTCTGCAAAAATCCCAGGTGTTGTGTATATTAAATCTAAATTTAATACTTCTTTATTCTTTCTTAAATTGTCTGTGAGTGCAAGTAAATAACAATTTTGAACAGCTTAGTAGATAAACATTAAAAACTATGGTGATCGGTTCTTGCAGGTCTTTTTCTAGCTTAATAAATTAATTATTTGAATTTTTTATATATGTTTTATAATACTGAATATTCAACATGAATAGACCATGATTTTATGTCTATACAAAGAAACAACTATTGAAGCATTAGCTGGGTAATGTTCTTTTGCAATATTGTATCTCGTACAGCATTAAAAACAACTTTGATGTTCTCTGTGTCCACAGCTGTAGTAAAGTGATGAAAGAGTTGTTTCTTCTGGTCTCTCCTGACAGAGTCAAACATACTAAGAATGAACATCTGCACATCTTCCAATTTGTGAGGATCTCCACTGAACTCTGGAAAGTAATGAGAAATATCTGAATCTTTCTTTTCTAGTTTTTCCTGAAGAAGATCAGTTTTGTTAAGGAAAAGAATAACCGACACTTCGGAGAAGCACCTATTGTTGATAATAGTCTCAAAAATATGCTTTGACTCCGCAAGGCGGTTGGTACATCGGTCTTCTAAAAGTACTTGATCATATTCTGTAGATGCTACTAGGAACAGGATAGAAGTTACACTATCAAAACACTGGAACCATTTTTGCCTCTGAGAACGCTGCCCACCAACATCTACAAAACGGAATGGGATGGTATTGATATGGACAAGAAATTCACTGATTCCCTTAGTGGCTTTCCTAGCATGAAGAATGTCTTGATTTGAAGGAAGATAATTCTGTAATAAAATTTTGAAATGTTGGTATTATACTCTTTTTAACAAACAAAATACATGATATTGTGGCTGAAACTTCAGGATTAGTTTGAATCATCAGTTAGTTCACATACATTAATGTTTTCTTTTTGAGGTTTCAAACACATTAGAGAAATTACAAAGTCACTCACAAAACTTTCAAATAGATTAAAAATGATAGTGGATCATAAAAATTCATGCAAAGAACTTAATAATATTTGACAAAAAGAGTTTCTTCTAGTTGTACAATTATTTATTTTACAAATAATTACAAAAAATATCATTCCAATTCAATATTTTTTTCAGTTTTAGTAACAAGAACTTAGATAAAAGATCTCATGATCATAAACTATCAAATTTACTAATGCACTCTTTTGAATTAAAATCATTATACTATCTGGGTACTCAAATATAGACAAAACTAACTTACTTGTGCTGTTATCCTATTTAAGTTCTCAAAGAAATAGCGTACACTGTCTCCCTAAAAATGAAAAAAATATATATGTAGTTATTTTCACAACATTCAAACAGACCTTTATTTTAAAAACTCATCAAAGCATCTTTGTAAACCTGCAAGATCAAATACCACAAGCAGTTTTAAATAAAATAAAATCTTTAAAAAATCCAAGATGACAGAGGGCCATTCAACTCATTGAGATTACCTCCTTATCCAAGAAAAAAGTAATATTAACACATCCCTCAAGAGCTAAGGGGTGTCTTTACACTACAATTTGTTGAATATTAAAAGTAAGTTCAATCCAGAAACTCCCAAACAGAGTGGTTTTGGACGTATCTTTTCAAGACAAGTTTTCGTTTGTTAATTGATAAATTTTTAAGTGAAATACAGCATGCTCAAGTCTCCATATGAGCTAGTACTAAGGTCTACCTGCTGGGAGTAAATTCAGTATATATCAATAAAGCCATCATTAGTTAAGCAATTACCAACCTTTTATGTTTCTGCTATCACCTTTTATGTTTAGCTTTCAACTGAGTTATAAACAATTTCACCTGCGATTTGGTAGGGAAGGTTGAAGCATCACGATAGTTAGCAGTAGGACGAGCAGATAATAACACTTTGAAAGCAGCTACAGGCATAATACTGTACTCAGTTTGTTGCACAATATCTACCAAGGGGGTTCTAAATGGTTCCTGAATACCTTTGCGTGTCATTTTGAGACTTCCATACTTCTTGTGCTTGGCCATTAAGCTCATGATGAGCTGACAGATTTCACCTTCAGTCACATTACCACTTCAAATCACTTTTCACAGCCACAATGCTAAAATAGTGCAGGAAATGGCTTCTTTTTAGCCAATAAAAATGTCCTAAATATTTCAGCTCAAATTATGAAAAACTGGATTCGGTAAGGGTTTTTTTCAACAAACATATCCTCCACTGGCTCGTGAGGAGCCTGTTGAAAATTTTCTGTTTAATTTTTAAACCAATTTAAACAGAGTCCTTCACATGTATCTACATCTTCAACAAATTTCTAAAATTTTTCAAACTGTAAACACTACATCACCAGTGTTTATAACTTTTAACCGAAAAGCTATATTGTCAAAAAAAAAAAATTCTTCATCTAGGCTTCAAAAACTTAAATTCATCATATCAGAGTTCATATTCTCAATCTTTTCACTTGGCTACTCAAACAGACAAGCCATAGAAGAAAATTGTCTGAGGCCAAACATTTTTAAACATCTGAATCAAATCTCCCTGTAATTCTTATGCACTCAAGAGAAAATGAATCTAAAACTCTAAGCCTCTCCTCACAGTTTGTCTCTGCATTTTTTTCGATATATTGATAGCCTTCCTATAGTAACGAGAAAAAAGCTAGAAGCAGTGCCCTAAATGTGTATTTATCAGTCTTGTACAAAGTTATAAATAACCTTCATGTTCTTCAATTTAAAATTTGTATAAACAAAACAAAAATATTTTATCTGTTCATTTCACCACAACTAAACACTCAGCCAAGAGCTTCAGGATTTTTGAAAAAATAAACAATAAATCTTTCCCTTTTTTTTTCCAAGACACCAATACTCCTCTTGCACAGGAATCATTTTCAACTTTTCATACCCCAACTGCATAATTTACACTTCTTGATAATCAAAATTATCTTAAAATTCACCTATATTCTACTAAAACTCATCTTAAAGGTTCTGACTCCTCCTCTAAGATTCATCTTCCATGTTCTGACACCTTCCTAAAACTCACATTTATCATTCTGACACCCCCACTAAGACGAGGGTTCTTTTTAAAAGAGGAGCATTCTCAACAGAACTGGCTTTTCCCATTATTTTAATATCAGTAAGATCAGAAATACTCCTGCCCAAAAAGTCATCCAAACCATTAACACTAATAATAGATAACAAAGGTCCAAAATCAGACCCCTTTGGGACCTCACTAGCTGCATTTTCCCACTAACCCAATTTTCAATCCACTTATTTTTACTATCAATACTATAAGCAGAGAACTTACCAACTTATCTCTTGTAAGACATCTTATCAAAGGCTTTCTGAAAGAAAAGGTAAACATATTCTTCCTGTAAATGACTCCTAACAATACATTCCAAAACCTGGCTTACAAAAGAAATCAGACTAATAAGCCTATACATTTGTTTCTTGAATTCTCCCTAGACCCTTTCTTTATACAAATAAGGATGACATTGGCAATCCTCTAGTTTCTAAGAACATTTCTGGTGTCAGAAGACTTCTGAAGTAGAAATCAGACTTAAAAGCCTATGCAATAGTTTCCTAAATTATCCTTAAACCATTCCTTTATACAAGTAAGGGTGACACTGGCAATCCTCCAGTCTCCACGAAATTTCCTGGTTTCAAAAGACTTCTAATAAAAAAAAATAATATTGACATATTGGAAAAGGTTCAAATGAGAGCTACTACAAGTATTCCAAAAATAGAAGGGTTATCTTATGGAGGTAGTTTAAGGTATCTTATTTTCTCCTGAAAAAGGTAAGAGGACATCTTATTTAAGTTTATAGGATTATCTGGGGTGATTGATACAATAAAGGTTTCTGATTTCTTTGTACTATATTCTGCAGACAACAGAACATAAGTTCAGTACTTGGAAAAAGACAAGCTGGATCCAGTTGCTAACATCTACCCTTGGGAAAATGGAACATTTAAAAGCTAAGGCATCTTATAGTCTTTCACAAAAATCTTGCCATCAGTATCCTTTAATTAAAGGCCCAATCTCCATTCTTATGTTTTGCTTTCCTTAATACATTTTAAAGAAATCCTTGCTGTTAGTTCTAACATTATCAGCCAATTGTTTCTTACAAGTTCTGCTAAATTTCCTAATTTCTTTTTTCATCAAATCCCCAACCTTCCTATGATTTTATAAATCTTTTAACATGTCTGTCAATTTAAATTCATCAATTTATTATATTTTCTCCTCTGTATCTTTAGTAAGCCAATCAGGTTTGATCTTCCCACTTATACCTTTTAAACTTGCCTATTTTAAATGAAAAGCAGTTAATTTTTTAAAGTTTCACAAGTTTGTCCTACATTATTTTTTAACTCACTGTCCCAATTCACAAATGACAAATCTTGTCTCATGTTCTCAAAATTGGCTTTCTGAAAAAATGGGAATTAAAAACTATTTCTTTAATCTTAACATGTAACAAAACATCAAACTAACTATGCAATGATCACTCTTTTACAAACATTCCCATACTTCAACTCTTAAAACCATATTCTCATTAGTGATTAAAATTAAATAAAAATTGCATCTCTCAAGGTTGACTCTCAGAGTATTTGGTATAGATAAGCATATTGAATCACTTCAATTGAAACCTCTCTCCTTCACTATTTGACTCCATAGAATACCAACCAATGGGTCTAAAATCAAGGGTAATAAAATTAAAATGAACATCCCAACAGTATTCTTATTATTAGAAACATTGATCTCCTTATACAATGTCTTATTGATGTCTTCTGTCTGATCAGGTAGCCTACAAATATTGGCATTTAAAAAATTTTCTTTGTTCAACTTGCTGATTACATTTTTTCTTATTAATCCAATTCTAACAGGCTGCAGTTCCTTCCTTACATAAAATTAGATAATAACATATTGCTTTTTGTGTATTTCAAACACTTAGACTAGAAAGATTTATGAAATGAACCATCATTTTTTTCAGACATTTCCAGCCTATTGCAGCATTATTTCAATGAAGAAAAACTCATCATATGTGCCTTTTTCGAATATGTTTCAGGTTAAATATTCTTGGAAAAATTTTGAAACTTGTTTCAATTAAAAATGAAAAAAATAGGATGAATTTTCATTCTACCATGAATGAAAACATGGAATGCTTGTTTATACTCTCCTGGTTTTCATGCTTCAGTCTTTTTGTCCAATGTCAACACATGTGACTGACGTAAACATAAGTGACAATGGGCATGAAACTGCTACAGTCACATAACAGTCCTTACATTTTGTAATTTTTATTTAATTGATTAATATGTATTACAATGAGTACATATATCTTAAGAATGTTGTAATTTCATATGCTGAATGGCACTCTGACTAAAATAAAAATAATGTTAATATCTTAGGGAAGTTTAATTAATCACACACTGATGCATTAAAACACATACAGATAAGTATCACAAAATGTGACAGAAATAAATGTATATATAAGTATAACTGCTTACTTATTAATTCATATTTCTTGCTTTTCTCAAGTTTCTTATTCTGTTTGACCAATTTTTCATTTTACTAATAACTTTTCAAGTTGTTATATATTATACATCTACTTTAATCATGGGTATTACGATACAATGCACCACAACTTAAACAAACTTTATTTTAACTTACCAGTTGAAATTCTCTCCTCCTATCAAAGGCAGTTTTTATACCTCTATCTTGCCATAGTTCTTTTACTATATTTGCTAACTTTAAAAATGTCTGTGAATCCAAGATCATACTGTTGTCAAACGTTAAAATATGACTAGCATTCTGCGAATTGTATACATTTTCCCATGGAATATCCAGCTTGTTTCTTGCATCTACTAATACTTTCATTCCTTTAACTATATTTTGATAAACAACACTTCTGAACTCTATTAATGATTCCTCGTCAAAATTATGGCCATGGATAATCTTCATTTGCTTTAGAAAAGTACTTTTACCACTTTCACCAGCTCCTAGAAGAAGTAGTTTAACTTCTCGGCGGATAATATGTTTGTCTTCTTCTAACATTTTATCAATTTTTTTGCTTCTTTGAAACTGTTCTAACTCATCAGGACCATATTTAAGACGTAAAAAGCACGCACAAGATGACAGCACTGCCGCCATCTTTGGAATATTAACCACGCCTCATATATCAAACATCATATCCGGTAAAATTGCAGTATGATAAACAAAATAAAGAATAAGTTATTTGGTGTTGTAAGCTCATATTTGATATATCAAAAATAGATATTAATATTATTTAGTGTACTTCACATAACCTTCTTTATATTCTAAATAATTTATTTTTTATTAAATTATCAACTGTCAATTTAGTTGGGCTTTTCATAAGATTTATCCTCTATTATCGCGATAGCACGGAAACATGGCTGCTCTCTCAGTAGTAAGTGCAAGGAACGGGTACCGAATATTTGGATCATCAGTTTATTCTTCATTACAGAGGAATATTAGAAGAAGTAAATATATTGTATTGTAAGTAACTTTACACTAAACATTACTCCAAGTTGTATTCTATAATATATCTGCTGTAATCAAAACATATTTAGCTGGAGCTACTCACGTACTGTGAACCTATGCCTATTTGTATTTCTTATTTTGCAATTTAATTTAACACAGATTCACTAACTTAGTCACAGTAATCAATGCTACTAATAATATTATTAATGATATTACTGTTAGTCACTATCACACCGTAGAAGTCGCAGTCAGTCACAGCTGATTATTTTATGTAATATATGATAAACATGTGCCATAACAATTTAATTTTTTTTTATACACCTGAATCAGGTCGGCTCTAGTTCTTCTGCATTGCAGTGCAAGAAAACCACTGGCCTCTATACCCGCTTAGACAATTTCTCTGCTTCTAACTACAAATGTAACCTGATCACTTGTTTACTTACTAGAGCTGCTAACAGTTGTTTTTCTTATTTGTTTCTATGTAATGAAATAACATTTGTACATTTTTCTTCTTGGGAAATAATGGGTATCCCAAACTTTTTCTTTAAACAATCACTCACAATTTTTTTAATGGAAAACTTAATACCCTTAATAATACTAAATGGATGACTAATTAAATGTCATGTAAGTTTATGCCTTCTTTATTTATACAAGCAGAGCTCACTTCTTATAAGTTAGCTCACTAAACTGTAACATAAGTACCACCCACTAATTCAACTCAAATTTGTTTTTAAATCAACAAATAAAATAAAATATTTTTTCCATGTCAAAAACTACATTCCAACCCCAATTCATTCATGGATAATTTACTCATATACTTGTGGCAGCTACAAAGCTACCTAAGTTGCAAAAATAAATTCCACTTAACTGTACATATCCATGAACAAGTGGGGATTTTCTACAGAACAATTCACTCTTTATCATCTCCTTGCACTTCTTTTATCCACACTTCAAATTACTGGACACAGAATCTCCTCAACTGACTTTAACATTTTAGTCTGCAGGCCTTACAGACTTGGAACGTCTCATTAAAGAAAGTCTACTTATGAAATATAATCTTATTAGCTTGTATAATAATATCTGTTGAGTTAAGCGTGTTTTGAGTATTTCTCATTAACTGTATGTGTACTTTTCCTAATTAATTTAGTGTGGATCAATATTATATCGAAGTTCATTCGCTGGATTTTACATCCCCCCCTCCCATGTTAAGTCTTTACATTGGCCTTACAAATGTTTGTCGCAATATAGTATATAAGCTTCTGTTTAGCATTTATTATCATAGGTTTGTGTTTACTGTAGGAATTTGCTGAAGATGAAAAGTGTATATTCTGAAATGTACAATAAATATTTTGTTATTCATCCTTTGTGTGGTTGTATTATTCATCATTAGAAAAAAAAGGTTTAAAATTTTAAAGCTTGAGTTACTTTTCATAATTAAATAGAAAGATTAAATTTTTCAAACAGAAATCATTTTGATAATCATTCTTGAAACTTTTTAAAGCAAATCATTATCTTTTTTTTAATAATAAGGCTATTAAAACTGAACATGATCCTAAATGAAGCTTTACTACAGTTTTGTACATTATGAAAATAATAGTTAGCTTAATATGATACTTCAGTCATATGACCTTCACATTCACTCTGCATGTTTAATTTTGAGTTATTGATTCTGTGATATATTTGTCAAAAGAAATGACAAATATGATTTAATAGCAGAAAAATCATGATCAGTACATGTGTTTATATCATTACTTGTCATTTTGTTTAGGTTTGTTGGACCAGAAGTGGTTGTAATTAAATACTAAAGAGTAATTATAATAAAACTGCAGCATGCAAATTATGATTCCACAATCTACTAGTACTGAAGTACTATAATAGTAAAAATATTCAAAACATAGTTGATGATACTACCCCAATAGACTTTTTTTCTTGGGACATTCTTTGAAATATTTTTCTATTCAATTTGTTGAATCAAATAAAACATTTACAAACTTCACACTCATAAAACTATCAAATATTTATTATGATACACTCATACAGTCATTTCTTATATGTAGTGTTTAATTTTTTTTTAATCACATTACTCCAAACAACTCTCTCTATTGCATATGTGTTTAGTATAATGTCAGTCCTGACACAGACATGAAAAGTTACTGGTGTATGAAAAAGTACATATTATATCTGTGACAATTTTGTTTGAAGGATTTAAAGTGCAAACTATTTTATTGTAACGAAGCAGGATGAATGCAACCTTTTCCCTAGCATACAAAAAAAGAAGGAAAAAATGTTACAAGTAAGGAATAACTATTTGAATGTATCATAATAAGTATTTGATACTTTTGTTAGTATTACATATAAAAAATTTTTGTTTGTCTTAATAAATTATTATAATTTCATTTTAACTAGAATTGAGGTCTAAAGGAATTGGTTACTGTCAAATATAGAACTGAGTAATAATTTTAATGGTACCATTTGGTAAGCTAAATAATTTTAATATTCTCATTTCATGGAATTAAATGGAAGATGCTTTTTTTATAAAAATAGGTTTATGCATAGTTGTTATTACAACACTAATTATTCTTTGTATGTAGCCTCAGTACATAAGTTCATGAAAAAGATTTGGTCATAGCTTTAAAAAATTCTTAAGCCTTCTTGACATTATGCATCAGCTAGTAATAAAGTAAACAACATTTTAAGTTGAATACTTATAAATGTTAGATACACATCAAAGAATGCCATCCGTTCACTCCATTAAGACCTGGTTAAACCTAATTGGAAATATTCTGTTCAGTTTTGGTCATCTTATTTAAGAAAAGATATTTGATTGGTGGAGATGGTTTAGGAAAGAGCCATCAGGATGATTTGAGGTTTGAAGATGATGTTATGTGTTATCTGGATGATTGATAGGATGTGGACTTTGTGTACCTTATATTTTCAAAAAGCTTTTGATAAGGTATCACACTAAAATATTAGCTAAGAAAATCACATTGAAACGGCTTGAGGAAGGATTAATTGGATTGTTAGGTGATTGAATGGAAGAAAGAAATCAAATTGTTAGTAAAGGAGTCCAGTCAAACTGGACCCTTGTTACTAGTATAGTGCCTCAGAGGTCAGTTCTGGGGACTTCACTTTTTTTATTTACATTAATAACATTTATAAGAGCATAATTAGTGGATTAGTAAAGTTTTTTAATGGCATTAAACTCTTCAGCATTTCTAGCTGTACTAAGGATGTTTGAGTATTACAAAATGATTTGAATCAGTTGATAAATTGGGCAAATATTTGGTCTTTAGTTATAGTAAGTGCACATTTCCCAATGTTCTGACACTCCTCATCAGGAGTCATTCAATACTGTAATGGTGACTGGATACACTTTGATGGTCAGTGATATTACTGCTCTTGTGCACAATGTGGCTGGTTCCATTCTGATCTTTGATCCAGGATTCCTGACCTCCTGCTTTTGATACTTCACCTGAGCTTGTCTCATCTTTTGACATGTTTCACTAGTGTTGTTTCCATGCCTGTTTTTGCTTCAAGTTCTCAATTTTTGATTAAGATCAAAATATCTCACCTTCATCCTTCACTGCTTGGATAACACACATATGTGACTTTTGTTTTCTCTTTCTTTGTTTGTGTTTGGCTGAATCTTGGGCTACCTTGTTGCATGACCCTCCATCACTCGAGTTTCTTTTTTTTTATTTCAGATTGAGGTCTTCTTTTTTTCTTGATCTCACTCTTCTTCTACTTATCTTTGTCTCCTTTTTTGCTGTATATTCACACTTCATCTTCTTTTAGTGTCAGCTTTACTGGGGAAACTTACAGATACCTCTTTCCTACTTTGTCCTCTGTTATTTTTTTCATTGTGTTCCAATTAACTTTGTTTGTTTCTGAGATGTGCTTCATTGGGTTATCTTACTTCATGACATTTGTTTATCTCAATCAACCTACTCTGATGGATCTCTTTGTTGCACCCTTTCTTTTTTTGACACAGTTTTGTGAGAGTGTTTTTTTTTTGGAATCTTGAACTGATATAGCTCATCAGCAGTCATCTATGCTCAGTTTGGTTTCTTGCATTTTTGGACCAGAGGACCCCACCAAGTTTCTCATTTTATAGAGCCTAGTGGAGGTCTTTCCTCTCTCCATGTAAGCTGGCTATCATGAATCTTGGATATGACTATTTTCTGGAGCTGCACCTTTGTTCTGTTCTGGGGGTAATTCAGCTCTCCCTTTTTGTACATCTGTGGACTCCCTTTGCTGCAGACTACTGGGTACTAGGTTATGTAGGTGCTTTTTCTGAGGGTTTTGTTCCTTGTCCTTCTACTCTCCTGATTAGTATGACATAGAAAACTTCCTTGATCTCACTCTGTAAGTTTGCTCCCATTTTTTTGTTGTTCCCACAAAGACAGAAGATTGAATTCTGATCATAGATCTGTTCCTTTTGAATCAACCTTGGCCTTTCCTCAGGTCAAGATGGACAGTTTTTTTGTTCTATGGTGAATACTTTCTTGGTATGTGTATGTCATATAGGTGGGTAGAATGTATGATTATTCAACTAGCCATTAACACACAGCTGATCGACTGAGAATGAGTGTATAATGTGGCTAGGGCAATAAGTCAGGCTGTCCCATATTGGAGAAGTGCCAGAATAATTATATGCAGAAAGAAAATGCCCCAGGCTTGCATCCTGAGGAGAACAAAAAATACATTTGGCTGGCCTAGCCACTGGGAATGGCTTGGTTTTTAATGTAGTGGGGCAGCTTATACTGCCCTTCTATGTTACACCCTAGACCTACTTCCCATCAAGGGGTACATCCAGTCTGTTTCATACCAGTGGGGTTACACTGATTGAGTGGAGAAGTCTCCATGCTGATCTCTTCAGTGGCTTGGGACTGGAGAAATGAAGACTCTCTCTTACTACACTAGAAGAGAAAGGAAGGGAAGAATTTATGTGTGGAGAGCACAGGAGAGATTACTGAACAGGAAACATCATATCTATGTAAGGTCCCACAATGACA